CCCCAAAACCCCAAAACCCCAAAACCCCAAAACCCCGTTATTCCTAAACTTCATAGAATCTCAGATCATTGTTTGAATTACAAAGAAGGAAATAAGTTCCTCCCGTTATCATCAATGGCGGTAGCAGTAGGGTTGCCTACCCTCCGTACCTGATGAGCCCTTTTGGATAACCTCTGGTAATCAAGTAATGAATTCTGAGTCTTCGTATTTCCTCGCCCACAAGACTAAATCATTAAGAGTTCTAAATACCTTCTGCTTCTTGGTTAGCCTCCTTAATCTTGTTGATTTCAAGTGATTCGACAAGGCTATTTTCTGCAATTTGTTAAAATTTGGTGTCTATTTTTAGCACTGAATATGTACCTTCTTCCCTATCTGGAACTCATAATGGTGAAAATCTTTGTTTATCGATAGAGGACTCGTTGATTGCTTCTCCTTCTTGCCAGAAAGTGCACAAGAGTTCTTACTTTGCCGAAGAATATTCTCTTTTGAATTGTGACTTCTGCTAATAGTATCAAGCGTCAGATTGTTTTGGACTCTATTTGAGTTAGATAAATGAAAATTTGTAACTCTTATTGTGAATATGGAAATCACATCATTGAAAATCATGAGTAGAGACTCACCTTTGGGGATTATCCGTTCTCATCTCAACACTCTTATTAATCTTGCATGCTTCAAGTGCCTTTTTCGTAAGATTTTCAAAGAATTTGAACTTTCCTTCTTCCAGAACTTCTGCTTTAGTTTTCTTGATTCTCTCAAAATTTTCAACTATACAATCATTAAGAGTGAAATCATGGTTTAGCAATCCAAAGATTTTGAACATTGACGGCTCAAATTCAAGCATGAAAGCTCATTCTCAAAGTGGCCAGGCACCAGACTTACTCTGAGGAATTTGCTGATCTCTCAGCATAAGCTGAGTGATATACATTTCTCCCTTGTTAAGCCTGCTTTTATACTGCGTCTTTTGAACATTTTGAAAAGTTTTCTTCGGGATCTTATACTTTGATGCAAGCATTGGTCCAACAATCTTCGAAGTCAAGCTCTGTAATCACGCATTTGGTGAGGAATGGCCATTTACATTCAGAGCTGAGTCAGGAGGAGAAGAAGTATTTCGAGAGTAAAATGCATAAGCTCTCGCTCTTTTATTACCCTTATAAGACCGAATCTGACTTCATTGCAGTGAACTCTGGTTAGCAGCCTGTTGAATCTCATGAATAAAGTTTTTATTTAGCCTTTGCGATCTCTGTAATGAGTTAAACCACAATACTGACTGTTTTTCCTTTCGATTTCGTTAAGTTTATTTAATCTTAGACAAGAGCTATTATAGTTTATACCATTCCATACTTTCATGTTCTTCGTGAGCTGTTCTTGCATCAGAAACTTTATCTGATCAACTATGGAGTTAGGGAACACAATACTGCTGACATTGGAGAGATTCATTTCTGTCTGTTCTTGGAATTTTTGCAAGTAGTCTTGGTAAATCTGATCATTATTATTAGGTTTCATAGCTAAAATTTTAGGTTACCACATTTTTGTTTCCTTAGCTAAAGAAAATACCCAAGAATTATATGACAATGATGTAAATACCCTCTGATTTGTGTTCAGAGACATCTTCGTCTCCTGAATGACTAAACTTTTCAGTAGAATTGCGATTTTTGATAAAAATAGCTTTCATGTTGAAACTTTCTATTTATTATTGAGAATAAGGGGTTTTGGGGTTTTGGGGTTTTGGGGTTTTGGGG